GTCGTATTTGTCGATCAATAACAGGACTCTGAGGTTGGAGCCTGTCAATCCCTTGAGTTCTATGACATTCTGTAATGCTGATGGTGCCCCATGGTTTCAAACTCTCACACTTGATCACTCAAATGTCTGCAGACATCAGGGTTCTTTCCAATTTATTTCATTAATATGATAATACTGCTTACACTCCCTTTCCCAAGCTCTTTGCAAGGGCAACATCTGCTACTCTCTCACCAGGAAGTCCTAAAGAAATGGAATCCCTGGGTTGAAGGGCATGTGCATTTTAAATTCAAGACTACCAAATGGCCCTCAGTAGCAGCACACTAATTTCTCCTCCCACCTTCAGAGTGGGAGCCCTCACGGGCCTACCTAGCATCCGATTCCAGCTCTTCTTCGTGGCTGCACACCACAACAGAAGCTGAAATAGGTAAATTATCACTTTTATAGCTCCTCTTGTAGCTAACAATAGCTTTGGGACACATTTCCAGCCAAAATGACCCAGGTCAAAACACGTGCTTGTTGAGACATGGTTCTAGAAAGCTCCTTTCCTCTGCTTGCTGCTTTGAGTCCTAGTACCCAGTTAGGAAGGTTACAGGCATGCTAAGGATGCCAGAGCAGGACAGAGTGGATGTTCCTGATGGTCTCACTAAGCTGCTGGAGTCACCTAGCTTGGATGTCTCATTAGAAAAGAAAAGAGAAGGCCCGGCGACATGGTCTAGCGGCTAAAGTCCTGGCCTTGAACACTAGGATCCAGCACCGCCATTGCGGTCACTTGGGGAGTGAATCATCAGATGGAAGATCTTCCTCTCTGTATATCTGACTTTGTACTAAAAATAAAATAAATCTTTCTTAAAAAAAAAGACCCCCCCCCAAAAAAAAGAAAGAAAGAAAAGAAAAGAGAGCCCCCCAATTGTTTAAGTTCCTGCCAATTAGGCATCTATCCCTTTTTACTGAAAGAAAAGCTAAATGAGACAGAGTATTTGTATCAGGTATGAATTTTCACTTTCATTTAGCCTTGATCTTTATGTGTTATGATGATGCTTGGCTATTCAACTTTACTATTAATCTGTTAGAAACAAAAATATCTATAATTAAGTTATGTATTACTTCATGCACATAGTATGTGACATTAGAAAGGTCCTGGGGGCAAACTAATTTTGGAGATGAGGAAACCAGAAACCAAAAAAAAAGCTCAAATTACTTGTCCATGTCCCCAAAGCATCTGATCTAGTTCTGGTGGCTTCCATGAATCTCTTTCCATAGTCAGGAAGCCATGGTGGTTGGCATGACCCAGAAAGAACCATAATAGTGGCAGTAAAGTGACACATATGAGTGGGAAAGGGCATTGCCAGCACTAACAGAGAGCCCCTTTGGCTTGGCTGGTAGATCAACTTATCAAGGTCTTATTCCAAGTTCACCTCTTAAACTTATTGGAATCCTGCCTTCTGTCCTGTGGCCTCATCATTGGGTCCACCCCCTTCCCAACCCCTTACATTAGAGTTTCATCTGCTCCTCACTTTAGATTCATTCACTGCCTTCCCTCTGGACAATCTTGAGAGATATTTAGAAAGATGCTATTCAAATGCATGTGTGTATCTGTGTTTACTGTCCTTCTACTTTATTATTAACAGACTCATACAGCGTATCCAGATAACCACTGTAAGTGCTGAACTCGCAAACCTGAGCCCCTACTGAATAGGGAAGCAACTTTACACTTTGGCTTTACAGCCAACACACAATGGATTTAACCCAAAGCTTTGTTTGGAGATTTATGGAAGCTGTGGTGTTCCTAGTGGATTCTTGTCTGTTCCAGGTTAACCAAAAAACAAAAACAAAACAAAACAAAAAACAAGCTTGGATTAATAAAAGAAAAAGATGGAATGTATTGGCTGAAGTCCTGGGAAATCTAGTGGACACAGCGACTCAGGCATGGCTGAAATTTGAGAGAAGCAAGGCCATTTCCTTCCTGATCTTGGCTTTGTGTGCCTCTACCTGACCTGCTCGAGACAGGTGCTTTCCACGTGGCAAAAAATGGGGGTTGGATGGTCTCTGATGCACAGGATCCTGGCACAACCCTAGTATAAGGAAAGTGCTTTCTACCAGCTCCACAGGTGAGTTCCAGGGAGGACATAGACTGCTTTGAGTCAAGCATTCATTCCTGTATCAATTCCTGTGGACAGAGGAATAAGGTATTTTGATTGTCTGAGCCTGGATCACAGTCCCAGTTCTTAAGGTGATGGTTCTTTGGAGGATTCAGCTCTACTAAAACGCATGGTGTGACTTGCCCCTTGGAAAGAGGACTTCAGTGTGAAGTCACAGGTGTCCACCAAAATGATTTGAGTTTGGCAGGGGCTAACACCTCAGCCTTGAGGCTACTGAGGCAGTGACTCAGGCCTACACAAATAGGCAGGTGTAGACTCTTGGCATGCTCAGGGAATTCCTTCTGCCCTTCTTGGGAGAGACATTGACATCCATATGGAGGTGCAAGGTGCTCCCCTTTTATCATGTCACCCCTTGGTATTCAAGCTAAGTGACATGGCAGGGCTCAGAGGGCCTAGCAGACAGACTCTTTCCTGCCCTTTCTAGTCGACTTGAGGGTCCTGGTTTCCTGTGGAAAACCAGATACTGACTGGTTAGTCAGCCTTGACTCAGTACCACCTTTTAAGAAATACACTTGTCATTGACCTTCTTTGTTTATGCCTTTTTGTATGAGAACCATGTGTCGAATGCACGCATGGGACTGTGGTCCTCTTGGTTAGAAGAACACAACACAACTCTACCTGCTCAGAGTATATCCCAAGGCCAACACTTACAGAGTTACACCTGCTGAAGGGTGGGCTCTTAAAAATGCAAAGGCCAGACTGTGAACCCTTATTTTCAGCAAGTACCAGGGAGCTTGCCAGGCTCCTGCGTGGGAAAGGCTTTGGATGGGAAATGCTGAACTTCCATGACCACCAAGGCCTCCCAACCCTCTGGACTGTGAGCTCCATCAGGAAGGAAGCTACCAAAGCCTGTACACATCCCACTGCAGACACTGAAAGCCCTGGGCTAGCTGAAGGGAGGAGAACTCACTGCTGCTGACTGCTGACCAACTGCTGACTGCCACGAGCTCTGTCCAAACCCTCCTGAGGCTCTTGGGTGCTGCTCTCTGACGTGCCAAGGAGAGCTGTCGGGGGGAACAGGTCCTTGGCTCTCCCAGTTTCTGTGAAATGACCCAATGGGTGGAGCTCCCCAGTCTTCTTCCCAACAAGAATGACCTCAGCCTCTAGGATGGCTGGGCAGAACCCTGGAAGCCTTCTTTTTTTGACCTGAAATAATCCATCTTCCAGGAGACCAGGAGCTCTGGTGTTTCGCTCACACAAATACACGTAGACACATGCATGCATGACATTTGCACATGCATGCACACACACACACATCAAGGGAACATGCTGGCCTGCCTTGCCACACCTGTACTCTTCAGGGAGAAGACAATACCCTTGGTGTTCTGCTCTGGAGGAGACTCTGGGTGTGGAGCAGAGAGAACAAGGAAGGCAGGTTACACCAGAGTGGACTAATGGGAAAGAGGAAGCAAAAACTCACCTATGGAAAGGGACACGCGGTAGGGAAAGAAATTTTATTTTCAAGCGTTTAAGAGAATATTACAAACAACAGAGAGTTTTAAAAAACCCTAAAAACTAGTTTAAAAAAGTATGTGACAGGGTCCCTTTAATACCCACAGATGACGCGGCCATTGTGCAATTACAACAGGAAATTCTGCAAGGGACCTTCCCTAGCAGGATCCTGGGAACAAGCAGTTGGGCTCCAGGCACAGCGCTGCCTGCCAGGACCCCTTGGCCTGCAGGGAAGGACTGGTGAGCACAGAGCAGTGAGCATTGGCCAACCTGTCTCTTTGGGGAGGGTCCCAAGCAGCCAGGAATACTTAGATGGGTCTCTACTCTGTGCCTAGGGGCGCATTGCTGCATTTCCCAACCACAGCAGCAGCTCTCCTACATACCCAACTGGAGGGTGGTCTGCCAGGGGGCCTGGTTCTGCACACCTGCCAAGGCAGGAGGGGGAATGGCACTGAGCCTGTCCTGGCTTGGGGAGCTGCGGAAGTTGTTCCTAGAGTGACGGCTTCACCAAGGCGGAAGCCACAGCAGCAGACCTGTGCTTGAGCTGCCCGCCAGAATTCTGAACTGTTCCTTAGGGGTGTGTGTGTGTGTGTGTGTGTGTGTGTTTCCTGTAAACATCTGTGAGTCAAATCACCATAAAACAAACTAACAAGGGCACAGAAAGACACTCATCTCCAAACCCAAGTCCTCCTTAAGCCCACCTAATGTTGGGAGGTTCCACGCCTGCCTCTGGCAGCTCACACCAACATCCCCCTCCCACATTCCGTACCCAGGAGTCCCCTAAAGTCCTGTGAGCTAGTGAATCTTGCCCACCCAGGTGAGCCCGAGCCCCTACAGGCAGTGTCCTCCCATCCAGCCCACACCAGTACCTCATCCCACCCCATCCCCCCAACTGCCCAGAGAGAAAGAAAACCAACTCAAGGCTGGAGCACTGGCTGTCATCACTTTTCTCTCAGCTCCCTTTGCCTTCTCTCTGCACCAACTGTGCAAACCTTGGTCACCACCACCCATTGCACCTGGCTCTGCTCTCCGCAGCCTCTCCTGCTCCGGGTGCCTTGCCCATGGGTGCCTCTGGGTGGTTTCCTTTTGTTGAGTTTCCTTTTGTTGAGTCCATCTGTATTGCACTTGGTTGCTGAGTTCATAATGGTTTCTGTTACTGTTCTGTTGGACAATGGTATTGACTAATCCATCGGAAAGCACGAACCCTGCTCCTGGTGCCACCTTCCTCAGCTCCACGCCGCCCCAGGGCTCCCTCAAGGCCCATCAGCCCCTTGCTGCGCTGGCCCCAGGAGGTGCTGATTCGCCTCCACCCTCCCCACCTCCCAAACGGCTACTCTGTGGTCCCTTCACGGCCCCGCCCTCGCGCGCCTTCTCCCCAGGTCTCTGCTCTCACACGGTTGTCACGCGCATGACCAGCTCTCGGCTGCCGCCCTGCGGGCTCCGCTGCTCATGAGGTCTCAAGTGACTCAGGATGTGCAGGATGCTGTAAGCACAGTGGTGATGGGACAGAGTGCCTGAGGGGTGGCTGGCAGGCCGGGCTGGGGCTTCCTCAGGGGCAGGTGAGGCTGCTGTCTCCTCTTCTGTGGCAGGGAGGTTGGCCTGGGTGGAGGAGGAGGTCCGTGGGTTTGTCCTGCCTCCTGCCTTTTGCTCCTCCAGGTCTTTCGTCTTGTCGTAGTTGAGCACTTTCCACTGCTGGTTGACAGCTTGCCACCGTTTAAAGATGCGGTACACGGAGGGTCCCTCGTGGATGATGAGACCTGAGGCAGCAGGGGGAGGACAGAGACAAGGGCTGAGTCCTTAACGGAAAGAAGTCACTGCCAGCAAAAACTGTGCTCGCCCTTCATTGAGCGCTATAGTTGGGGCAGTTTCTTTGGCTTGCTTTGTGCTTTAAAACTACCTTCCCAGGCCTGGCGCTGTGACTCAACAGATTAATCCTCCATTTTGCAGTGCCAGCATCCAATATGGACACCAGTTTGTGTCCTGGCTGCTCCACTGTGTCCCTGCTTATGGCCTGGGAAAACAATAGAAGACCCGCGAGTGCTCTGGTGCCAGTACTCACGTGGGAGACCCGGAGGAGGCTCCTGGCTTCCAATCACACCAGCTCAGCTTGGGCTGCTGCAGCCATTTAGGGAATCGGTGGATGGAAGATATCTCTCTTTCCTTCTCTCTGTAACTCTTTCAAATAAAAGTAAGTATTTTTTTTTCTTTAATAAATCTACCTTCCTGTTCTGAGCCATAGGGATCCCAGCCTAAGGTTCGTATTCTGGCAAGTCTTTCAGAAAGGGGACAGCACAGCCAACTCATGGAGGAGTTTGACACTAACATGCAATGCCCTTGCCTCCTCTGACTCCTTCCCAACCTTCTCCTTGGCTTAACACAGCCAGAGTCATCCATTAACTCATAATATAAATATATTTTTCTTTCTTTAGTGCATATCCATGGTTCTCACCCTTAACATTGCTGAACAAAGTGTGTGCTTTTATTATTTATTTTTTAGAAGGAGTTAAGCCATCTTCTGCTGCCTTCCCAGGCCATAAGCAGGGAGTTGGATTAGAAGCAGAACAGCTGGGATTTGAACTGGTAACCCCCGTGGGATGCCAGAGATGCAGGTGGAGGATTAGCCTACCACATCACTGAACTGTGTTCTATCTAATGTGCTCAAGAAGAGACCCTGTGGTCCTTCCATTTCTGCTGCCGAATGATGTCCAAGGCTCCACCAGTTAGCGTTCCAAACACACCCCCAGGACAGACAACTTGTTCTGGTTATAGAATCCTGAGGCAACAGTTAGCAGAAATGGGCCATCCTAGGAGCATGAGAAACAAAGATTAATCACATGCCTCCTGCATGCCAACCACTGGAGACACTGAGGGAAGTCAAATCCCACCCTCAGAGGGTGTCTGTGTGTGGAGGGACAACAGACACATAAACATACTGGTGAGACAAATGTTTTGTGTGAGAAAGACAAAATAGGGTTCGATGTCCAGTGGCTGCAGGCTTCAGAGTCCTGGGAAAACGCTAGTGGGAGTGGCCTTTCTGAGGAGGGGTTGAGGGGAATTCTAGAGCAACAGCACTTGGGTGGTAAGAACTGCCAAGCCCTGGCAGGTGGGGTGAGTGAACAAGAGTCAGAAGGTTGGTGTGACCACCGCACTATGGTGTGAGTGGAGACATAGACAGACAAGGTGTGCAGAGGCCAAGCTGTGAATGAATCTCGTAGACCATTTGTAGGTAAGGGATTTGCATGTGTCCTGAATAGAATGGGAAACTACCAAAGGGTTCATGGTGAAGTGATATGATCTGACTTAACCTCCAGAAAGTTCACTCAGGCTCCCCTTAGAACAATCCATTGTAGGGGAACAAGAGTCTGATCTGCACACACTAAGCAGGAAGCAATGTGCCGATTCAGCTGAGAACCGACGGTGACAGCAGTGGAGGCAGAGAGAAACTGTGGGCATCAGGATGTGTGTTGGGGGTGGAGCTGGCAGGTGGAGGTGCAGCCAGTAGGAGACGTGTGACTGAAGACTGTGCTGAAGCTTTGTCCCCTTCATAGTTGGGTGAGTGGGGCTGCCGTGTGCCGAGAGGTGGAGTGTGTGAGTTTTGGGGGTGTGGATTTGCATGGTGGTTGTGGCAGGAACCATATCAGTTTCCAGTCAACTGTAATGAATGACCATGTGCTTATCTGGGAACTAAATCAGCCTCGCTGAGCTAAAACCTTTCTGTTATGAGGGTCAGTTCCTGTGGAGGAATCTTCTCTTTTCTCAGACTCTACAAATTCCCTACAGTTCTTTGTCTCCTCTTATGTTATCACATTTTCTACTTCTCTTCCATCATCGAATCTTTCTCACCTTCCCACTTGTAAGAACACTTGTGGTTGCATTTAGGGCTCATCTTCTTTTTTTAAGATTTATTTATTTTTATTGGAAAGGTAGATATACAGAGAGAAGGAGATACAGAGAGAAAGATCTTCCATCCATTGGTTCACTCCCCAAGTGGCTGCAATGGCCAGAGCTGAGTCAATCCGAAGCCAGGAGCCAGGAACTTCTTCTGGGTCTCCCATGTGGTACTGGATCCCAAGGCTCTGAGCTGCCTTTAACTGCTTTCCCAGGCCACAAACAGGGAGCTGGATGGGAAGTAGAGCAGTCAGGATACAAACCAGCACTTATATTGGATGCCATTGCATGCAAGGCAAGGACTTCAGCCACTAGGCTCAGGGCCCCCAGGGCTCATCTTAAAAACCTTGGATAACATCCTTATGTCAAGATTACTAAAGTAATCACATCTTCAAAGCCCCTTTTTGATGTATAAGGTAATATTAACAGTTTCAAGGACTGGGACCTGAATGTATTTGAGGGCCATCATTCAGCATAACAGGGACTAATAATAGCTATATTTTACTCATGACAAGTTTAAGATGTCCGAAATCTCACCAGAAGTGTTAAGGTGAACAGTTGGACCCATGAGTCTACAACTCAAAGATGGGTTTGGCCTGAAGATGGAAGCCATGGGGTGATAGTTATTGAATGTGTCTACTCTAACATTCAGACCCTGCCAATGTCATAGCATTGAGAGGTGGGTTCTTTAGAAAATAATTAGGCCATAAGGACTCTCGTGAATGGGATCAGGTGTCCTCTATATGGCTCTGAGAGGGACAGTTTCTTGCCTTTCCACCTTCTGCCATCTGAGGATTCCATTCAGAAAGCCCTGGCCAGGTCTAGCATTGTCGTATAGTGTCTAAAGCTGCTGCCTACAATGCCAGCATCTCATATGGGTATCAGTTCATGTTCTGGTGGCTCCAGTTCCAATCCAGCTTCCTGCTAATGGCCTTGGGAGAGCAATGGGAGACGGCCCAAGTGTTTGAATCCCTGCCACCTATGTGGGAGACCTGGTAGAAGATTCTGACTTCTGGCTTTTGGTCTGTCCCTGATCTGGCTGCTATACAATCAAGACTGAGCCAGTAGATGGAACATCTCCCTCTGTTTCTCCATCTCTCTAACTCTGTGTGACCTTTTCCCACATTTTCAGCTACTTACTTAGGTGCATGTGTGAAGAAAGAAGAAACTTGGATATTACTACTAAAGAATTCTTATCAGATAAGTGGATATCAGGATCATATATGCTTGTCATCATGTCAGACAGTGGCCACCAGAATGGGAGGATGGAAGAGAGGACATGAAATGGACCAAGAATAACAGACATGGAAAGGGGTGGAGTACATGCAGGGAGGCCTCTGTGACGACAGAATTTCTGAAACCAATGAATCCCAGAGATGAATGCTGATGGGCACATGCTACGATGTTGATCTCCAGCTTTCAGAAATTGTGTGCTTGCTCTTGACAATGCGTCTAGGGGGTGACCACTTGACTGGGGCTGGGGTGGGCCTGAGGAGGGAGCTTTGGAGTAACAGGAAGCTATGCAGTAGACAGATGATCTGCATCATTCATCCTTAGTACCAACAGATTCACTGGCCCCTTTTGATAATTAATAGATTAAAATATTCCTATCCTGAAATTCATAAGATATTATGAGTTGCTCTGGTTTCTTAAAAAAAAAAAAGAAGACTAGAATGTTCTGATAGTTAACATACTAGAAAAGGGGGAGGGATAAATTTCTAAGAAAACAAACTAAATGTCAATATAAATGCGAAGGACATCTATATTAAAAAATAAATGAAATGCCCCCTCCTAAGGGCTGGGACCACCAGTTCGGGGAATGCCGAAGACAGCTGGGATTCAATCAGAGTCAAGGCTGCTCATGGTGGACCCTGAGCTCAAGAGGTGCATCACGGGACAAGGAAACGAGCAACCGAGGAAGTGAGTGGTTGTGCACTCTGTGAGTGTGGTCAGCAGGCTGCGCCTGGGCTAGGCAGCAAGGCGACTGGGGAGGAAAGGCTGCTTAAGGTCTGTCCAGCAGTGGAGACCTCCTGGGTGGCGCTGGCTCAAGGAACAGACACGTCAGCCTCGAGGAGCAAAGGGCCCCCAGGAATACAGTGGAGCCCCTTCAAGCTCCCATGGAGAGCAGCCACCCACAGCCTCTTCGACTCTGTCTCCCAACAGCTTCTGACATCACTCTGCTTAACAAGTCTTCAAATATTCTTTGAGAATCAGTGTCTCAAGATTCCTAGCTGTGTGAGTCACACACTGAACAGGTCTGGTCAAAGGTATGGCTCATCTCAGCAACATATCACAACCCATGTCCTTGTAGGGGGTCACCAGTCTCTGGAAGCCCACCTGTAGGCCTCCTGATTTAGTTGGCAGAGTCTGGGCCAGGAGACTTCCTCTCTGTCACACCCTCACACCAGTGTGTCAACTCCCACCATGTCTGTCTCATTGGTACCTTTTGAACATGAACCAGGTTGGCCTTGCCATGAAAGCTGTTCTTCTAATCCACAAGCCCTGTTTGAACACATCAGTGGCCTTTTCTCTAAATAGTGAGCCCCTCCAGGGCAGGACCAGGTCTGGTAGAGTCGTGTATGGCTTTCACAGCTCTGGGAGTCTAGCGGAGCCCTGCTGATCATGGAGAAGACAGGGGCCTAGATCGGGAACAGCAGCATCTTATGAAGCCCTAAACAAGCTCTATCTGACAAGAGCCCACACTTGATTTTTAATTAGCTTCTTGATCAATTTCCCTCTGATTGAAGAGGGTGGCTTAAATTTGTGGTCTGAATGCTGCCTTCTAGTGATCTGTCTACTATGCAGGAAGTAATTAAGCCATTTTTCAATGGTAGGTGGCTGAACAGGAGGAAGGTGCAGGTGCATCTGTTTTTCCAGAATGGTTTGTTTGGCAGAAGTTGGAAAAACACAAACTACCTCATTCATGTCTGCTCCCTTCTGTGTTCCCTCTACTTCCTGTTTCACAAATCACTTATCGACTTCGCGGGTAGCAAAACAACAACAACAACAGCAAGTGGCAGAAGACAGGTGAGGCCCACCCACTGGGGCAGGTGACAAGGGCAAAACTGAAGAGGTCAGAGAATTAAAACGGGCTGGAAACGGCAGTGGTGCGAGAGAGGCTGAATACTAGATTATGGATTGAATTAACAGACAGAAGATCTTCCTCTCTGTCTCTCCTTCTGTCTGTATATCTGACTTTCCCATAAAAAATAAAATACATCTTAAATAGATGAGGAGCAGAGCAGAGAGGTAGCAACAGAAGAAAACGGTAACACCGTACACCCAGTAAGGTCTGATTGAGTCATTCTCCGGGCTTTTCTACTTTGACAATCATCTGACAACCATCTACAGTCACCCAACCCTGGCTGTACTTGTGGGAAATTCTGCTCCAGAGAAATTGCTGCCTTTGTAACGTGTCTCCCACTTTCAGGGTTTGTCTCCCTCTCATAGCTGTATACGTCACAGGTTATCACAATTCTGTTTCTCACAGAATCCTTCCCCTATTCCAGCTGCAAGAGCTTTTATCCTCAGGGTTGGGGGTGGGTGGTCCTTTACCCACCCAGTGCCACCTCCCCTATAAACATCATGCCAGCAATGCTCTAGAGTTCTACCTCGGCTTGACACCCCAATCCATGTTGCCTTTTGACCATGAACTCTCGTGTCCAGAGCAGTGAGATACAACCTAATTCAGGTGAGTTAGTGTTTTCCGAGGACTTACCAGGGGCTTCTGTGAGCGCTTATAATGGAACAGAATACTGGTTTCCACCACGTATGGAATAGGCTGAGGCTGGGAGTCTGGAGAGAGGTTGTTATTCCTACCCGCCCCCACTCCTCCCGCCTGTCCTCACCATCTCCTGTGAGCACCCTGGTTACTGACAGCTCTAGCACAGTGTTTCCAAATTTCTGCATGCAACAGAGTCCCCAGACAACTTGGGGAAACCCAGATTCCCAGGCGCACATCCTGAGGATCTGAATAGGTCTGGGATGCAGGCTAACAACCCGCACATCTGTCAGTACCTGTGGGTGGACCACACTCTGGCAGCATTGCCTAGAGCACAGTCTGCAGGATCTGAATGCATCCCTGCCCCAATCAGGCATGGAAGCACAGTCCCTGTTACAGTCCAAGGTGGGGTCTGCTGGAGGGCATGCTCATGAATGGATGAGTGCCCTGGGGAAAGGCTCGATGGAACTAGCTTGGACCCCTTCTTGCTCTGCCACCCTCTTGCCATATGGGGTCCCAGCACTTGCCCCCTTTTCTGTCCCTCTCACCATGTAGGATACCTAGATGGAGGCACTGAGGAGGAATAGCGCTTCACTGTACCCTGAACCTGCTGGTGCCCAACCTTGGACTTGTCAGCCTCCTGCACTGTATATATTCTTTATAAACCACCCAGAGTGAGTGAACATGCCATGACAGGCCTTCTCCTGCCCACTGCCTGGCTTTTAAAGAGCTATGTGGAATTTGGATAAGGCATTCCTTCCCTAGGTGACAGACATGAAAGGCAACTGAAGAAACAGATACTTCTAGACCCTTAGGCCCTCCAGTCCAGTGTTGACTCACGTGTGAAGCATGTACTGAACATGGGGAATGTTGCTACACAAGGCTCGTGGCTTTAGGGAAACACTACCTTTTGAACCTCGATTTTCTCATCACTGAATCGAGCCTGACACGCCTTCCCTCCTGAGGCAGTTGTGGGATGAGACAAGGTGGAGTCCTGCATGCTGATGCCTGGCACAGTGCCCGGCACACACTCGACACTGGATTTTGCACAACGTGGATGGTGGCAGGGGAGGTGACAGAACACAGAAATAACCATTCATATTTCTTCTTCTGCATCACCAACCCTGTCCCCGAGCCAAGCGTTTGCCTTCTATGTAACTGTTTTCCTCCCCAATTCTGAGGCTGAGTCATCATTGGGACTGACTAACAGGCGGGAGCTAAAAAGCGCTCTAGAGGCCCACTGAATCCACAGAAGTGGCAACATTTCCCAGGCCTCTTCTCCCCTCGCTGAGGTCCTTGAAGCGTGCCCGTTGAGGTCCTGCTGTGACCCGCCGCACCAGGCCCACCTCTGTTACAGCCAACTCTTCAAAGATCCAGTCCATTCAGAACCTGTACTAAAGAACACAATCAATAAACATGAAAAAGAAAGAAATGCACCAGCTATCCTGAATGAGGTGAGGGGATTGCTACTGAGATTGTGGGTAATGCCCAACCTGCCGAGTCGTTTCCAGGGTTCATCTTCAAGCCTCTCACAGGTACACTCAGGCTGCATTTGGGGGACCTCCTTGGGGAGGTGGGAAGATGTGCATCTAGGGGTCTCCTGCAGGTAGGATATCCCTCTGGCTTGAATGATTTTAACATGGAGTCTCAAGGACAAAAGACACTGGAAGAACTATCTTCCCTTTGGTGTCAGTGCCCAGAGGGAGGGCAGCTCATGGAGGGCAGCTGCTGTCAGAGCTCTCCTGCTAGCAGGGCTCCTGCTGGGCTGGTTGTACTTGGCAGAGTTATTGAGAATATTTCTCAGCACCTTGGAGTCAGAGCCAGCCACGTCACTGCTTTCCTAAGCCAGTGTGGTACCCTTTGTGAGGCCCTGCCCTAGGAAGCCAGTGAGAGCCTGAGATGCCCTGAAATGAGGGGAGTGTAATAAGCAAGACTAGTTATTAGGACAGGAAAATTCTGGGGCCCCAAATGGGCTCTGGGGTGATGGTGGAATCCATTCCTTGAAGTGCACTTGTGACTTTACAGCTCAAGACATCATGGACTGGTTTTTCTCCCTACATATGGGTGTTTTTTTTGTTTGTTTGTTTTTTGGTCAGGCATGACCTGCTCACTATCTGGATAGACACGGATTGAAACTAGAGTTGCCATGCTCAGCCACTCTGGGAGGTATCACTGCTTACGGGTGATGTGGAGGCCCTAGTGTTGAGTAGTGGTCATGTTGACAATAATCAGTATTTATTGAATACTTGCTAAGCCCCATCACTCTTAAAAAGCTTTGCAAATGTAGGCTGATTCTCACAGAAACTCTGTGTAGTCAGCAACATGGCCTCCGCTTTGTAGAAGAGGGAACTGAGTTCAGAGAGGTTAAATGTCTTACCCAAGGAGACACGGTTTATCCACCAAGAGGCGCAGAAACCCAAATTCATCTGCAACAGAACAGCAGCTTGCATCTGGGGCCACCTACTTCTCCGTGAAGTGGATCATGGGTTCCTCAACAAGTAGCCACGGAGATCATTTTGTAAAAATTTGCAGTGCAGGTGGGCATTTGGTGTAGTGATTAAGATACTGGTTAGGACACCTACAGCCCATGTCAGAGTGCCCAAATTCAAGTTTTCTCTCTGTCCCGATTCCAGCTTCTAGTTCATGCACGTCCTGGGAGGCAGCAGGCTATGGCTCAGGCAGTCAGGAGCTTGGGAGAGATCTGGGGCACAGCCATTTGCAGTGAGTAAGATCTTTCTCTCTCTCTCTCTGCCTTTCAAAAATTAATTATTTTAAAATTTCATGTACATAATTTCTGTATGAATTCATAGGATGCCTTTTTAAGATGTATTCTAGTAAATTGTTACATTGTTGTTAGCAGATTGGTTAAAGATACAGCCTTTGGGATCAGATGAAATTATGTTTTAGTTGCAAGACTGAGTAGTCTCTTATCCTCAGTTTTGTATCAGGAAAGTGGGTGTTATAACAGTAACTACATCACAGAGTTATAGGGAGTAAATAAGATATACGCTAACAGCATATAACGACTTCCCACAGTACTTGGCACATAATGGGTAACAAATGTTGGTTATTATTTTAGCTTTAGTATCATCATCATTATTGGGAAAAGTTTTCCATTAGCAATCGGGCATCGGACAAACCTCATTGGCTACGATACTGCCACTGTGCAAAGCTTCATCATCATTATTAAGTAAGTATTAATGCACTTCATTTTATATAAATAATAAACACAACAAGCTATTTCTGGCGGACTTGGGGAGCATCACTTGGGACAGGCCAGGTTGGTGATGGCACTCCCTCTCATCCCCTACCTACTCTCCTGACAAGTGGGGCTGAGCTTGGATTTCATGCAAGCTACAATACAAACGCACTGTGAACAGACACACCAGGACTGCTAAATGCAGGAAAAGTGTTGGTCTTTAAAATCTCTGGACTTCACAAGGTCATCCTTGGAGCCAGGATACAGTCTTCTATTGGGCTCTCTTGGCATGTAAGATTTCTGCAAATGTCTTGACGGGATAGGCCTTCTGTGGTAGAGATGGCTCAGCATCCAAGGAAAAGCTCACACTCCTCACCCTTAACACGCTCTGTCACGGGAAGGGGAATACCCGTCTCCAGGTGTTAGAACCAGGTGGAACCAGGTGATGTGAACAGACGGCAAACACCAATCAGGCCAAGAATTAAGAGCTAGGTATTGAAACACAACTTCTGTGAGGGTGGCATGGCCTTATCCATGTCCCCTTTTATTTCCTCCTGGCAAGGGGTCAAATGGCGTAAAAGTCTCTTAGCATTACAGAGCTTGTATTCCTGTTCTCTGTGTGGAGGATAATGTTACCCAGTGCAGGAATGTCTGTTGTGCTATAAACCACTAGCATTTGTTGAAGCTGTCATGAGAAGCATGCCTTTATGCTTGGGGAGGAGCCACAGGAGCAGAACCATTTGTGGCTTAAAGGTACACTTCGTGTAGTCCCCAGAGTGAATGGGCTGACTTGAGCAGGCCCCATAGCTATCTTTTGGAGACTATTTCTAACCACAAACCCCAGCATTATTAGATATGTTCCTCCTGAATCTGTTGTATGTCACACTGTTCCTAAAAGGTGTCCCAGAAGTCTTTCCAGCCTTGTCACTACATGGAGCAGGGGATGGGCCTCCAAGGGGCCTCCTTTGAGGGGACTGAGCTTACTAGGTGCACCAGCTTTCAATCAAACACCTTAATCCCCCCAAAACTTGACCACTCAGCCATGGTGAATTGACTTTGCAGATGAAGCGCTGGGTAGGTGAAGTTCAAGTTCATGGAGAAGCTGGAACACCAGAGAACCCACGTCCAGATCGCAGAACACAGAGTGAACACCATCATGCCCTGTTATGTGCGGGAGGCATTTCCACAGGGGTGCTGGTTGGCCTGACGCTGGCAGGGATCCCCTACAGCTACACTGGTCAGCCTCTCAGAGCCCCAACATGGCCTCACAACACAAGTAGCTTCAGAACCGAAAGATGTCAGACCTGGAAGGTGGTGTTCAGGCTCAGCCCTCTCATAGTGCAGGTGGGGAAGCCAGCTGTAGGGAGGGAGCCAACAGGAGTTGGCAAAGAGGTCCTCAGCAGCTCCTTCCCTTGCTATCTCTTCTGCTGTATGCGGCTGCATATCTTTGAAGCTCCCTAATCAGAGAATCAACAGGTTTCACAAAGCAGAAATGTTTGTAGAGAAATGTTTTTTTAGTTCATGAGAATTGAAATTCAGATTGGAACAAAAAATATGTTTTTCCAATCCTACTACTGCCATGCCTTGCCTGTTTGGTCTGCCAAGAGATTTATATGCCTTTATCCCAGAGGGTAGAGTTCAGACATTCCTACAACACCGAGAAGCCCTTCTGGGAGTCACACGGAAGCGCTGTGGTACAGCTTTGGCAGCGGTCCCAGCGGCTCACGTCACCCTCCCCTGACCCTGTGCCACTCTCAACTAAAAAACCAACATGATGAGGGGTGAGATCCTGATTTTTGCAGAGCTTTTTTTTTTTTCACGGTCAATCTCTTAGATCTGTGGAGTGAAAAAAAATTTTTTGTCTGTGCCAAAGTCCTTAATTAATTTCTCTCGTTAAATCCTAATAACCTGAGCCACTGGAGCACAGAATGCCCCATTGGTTTGCTGGGAGATTCCGTCAGCTTCCCTGATGCCGCACACAGTGTCATTAGAGAAGACAGGAGGAGGAGGGAGCAGGTGACAGGATGTAATCAAAGCTTCTCAGGGAGGGGACCCCAGTGGGAGGGAGCTGAGAACCTTCCAGAAAAGGTAGGCTTTCAGGAAGAGCAGACCTTAGCTCTGTGAGGACTCAAGGTCAAGTTCTCTGTTTGGGCTGTTGCTGGACTTTTAGCTTCACCAAAGCTCCACTGAGTGGCCACCAACAGGGAAATCTGTCCTAATCAGGGGCGTCTCTCTTGGTCACTGAGACTTCGGGGTACTTCTTCTTTGCGGTTCTCTGCACAACCCAAGCAAAGGGAAGGGAAGCAGAGCAGCTGTGCGAACCTCTGCTGGTCACAGAACAGGTAAGACACTGAGCCCTGGATTGTTGGGTGGCAACCCCCCTTCCTCTGTGTCTTAACCAGGAGACCCTGCCCAGCACTGTCTTCTCTCAGCAGTCCATTCTGTCCTTCCAGCATCCTACTTCCCTTCTGCTGAAAACTCTCGTCTTAGAGATTGGCTCTTACTTCTCTGCCTAGTTTGTAGGTTTCAGATGGTTTTTCAGCACTTGGACCTTTGCCAAGGACACCCCCGTTGGCTCCCCTCTATCCACTGCCATCGTCCACTCGTTCTCCTGCTCGGCAAAGGTGTCCAGTCCTCATTCAGAGCCTCTGCCACAGTCCTAGTTCCCAGAGCTCTGGGACTTACACTCTTCCAGACAATCCAGTCAAATCCACCTCCTTGGTGCCGCTCGAGGTCACCTCCCTCCTGTCTCCTCTCGATGCCTTTGTGTTGCCTCCCTCGGCTCCTTATTTCCAACTGGTCTCTCTTAACCACCAGTGTGTCTATTTCTGACACATTTTCCCTCTAATCGCCAAATTTATCATTTTAAAACACTCATAGAATCAAACATGCTTTTTCTGTTTAAAATGCTACAGTGCTACCCTTTCCCCAGCAAAATGAGGGCTGAATTCCTAGCACAGGATTGAGGACCCTGTGAGGACTGGTACCTGCCAATCTTCTAACACCATCACTCCTCATCCACCTCCTACTCTGGCTGCTTGCACTGTCCAAAGTTTCCAAAGCACACCCTGTTCACTCCGATTCTGCACACAGGAATGTGCCTTTGTCTGCAATGCTCTTTGTCCATCTTCCATACTGTGCTTTATCCTTTGGATATGTCTCCCTTCCTGCTCCAGAGAGAGCTAACTGTTACATGTAGAAGCCACTGTGTTGGAATGCAGCTCCTCAACGGCAAGGGATTGTGTCTCCTTCATCTCTGTTAAAGGTCCACAGTTTGTGGAACCAACCAAGGCAGTTCATGTGACTGAATGGCTGGCCATGATCATCCAGAACCCTCTCACCCAGGCCTCTCTTTCCTGGGCTCACTCATCCCAGTGCCCAGACCTCAGTCCTAGCTTCCATTACATGAGATTTAGTGATTACTCTGTGTGTCCCGTGACATAAGACATGCCTGAGAGTAGGTAACTCTTACTTCAGGGTGTTTACCCAACGTCTTCTTTTAATGAATGAAGGAATGACTCAAAATTCATGTCATCTGGCACAGTTAGAGTCATCATTCCAAAATTTCATCTTGTTTCCTCAAGTATCTTTATTGGTGTCAGCATAGCATTGATTAGAAAGGAAATGTATTGATAGCTAAAGCCTTAAACCCCAAACACAGGAGAGCAGCAGCTGGGAGTCACTGGGGCTCAGGGTGTTACTAGACTAATTTCCTCCTAACCTGCTTCCCCACACAAGCTTTGCATCGACAACTTCCCAGATCTTGCAGAGGTAAAACAGGTGGCAGAAAGGGGCCTGGGATTGGAGCCGGAGTTTCTTGGGCCAATCATTGCTCTACCACTTGCTTAGCTGTGTGACCTGGCGTACAAGCTGCTTTAAGCCTATCACTGCCTATTAACTCTGGGTCATAGTAGTCATGCTGTTTTGCCTTTGTCAGTTCTACACTGGCAGCGATGTGGCAGTTTGTTCTGTTCACGCTTAGGAGTGTGTATTGGCCTTGCAAGTTAGAACTCTACCAACAGATGCTTTGTCTGGAGGGGCAAGTTGTATCAACCACTATGTACCTGCAATGTGACTAAGTCCAGAACCTTGTGCTCAACCCTGGAACTGTGCTGCACCAAACACGGAACACGGACCTTCCTAGCAAAACCCATTGGTGAGCTGTGCGCCATTCGCTAAGGGAATCGTTACTCTGGAACCTTCCCACTGATTTTTCCAGAAGCTAGCTGGATGGATATAGCCACCGATAGGCTAATGTGGCAGCCAATGTCCCCACTCTTGATCCTCTTGGCTTCACAGTGAAGAACATCTGCTGAGCTGCCTTTTGCTCAGGGCACTGTCCCTTAGAGCCCCTCACACTTGCATGAGCATCACTTTGAAGTATGCATGCATGCATAGTAAGGATTCAGCACACCATCCCTTTCATGTTTATTCATGTACTTTTACTACCTATGGCCATTGCACAGTCTTTGAGAATAACAGATTGTTCTTGATACAGAGCATCCAGAGTCTCATAACAGAAGAAGGTGTTAATGTTCTCCAGCTCTGCCATTTGAACTAACAATGGGGTTAGATTAATTTTTCTTCATCCTGAGGACAGTGTTCTTACTCGGGTCCTGGCTTCCTCTGTCCCTTTTCGGGGCTTCCTCCTGTGGCCAGGAATTATTTCTCTCACCACTCTTGTACCGTCCTCCCCCCACTGTCTGATGGGGGTCCTCCCTTCCTCATTCTCCCCATTCACATCATTTTCCACTGTCTTGGTGCTTCTGGAAAGGGAGCTTCCACTCTCACGGGAGTAGCTGATTCATCAGGTGTTGAACCTAATGAGCATCACCAAAGTAAGGCAGAGTCCTCCTGTGCCTCTCCAGTCTGCTTCTTCCTTCACAGTCAGAAGGCAGCACAGTGCCCCCTGCCAGGTCTGTGTTTCCCTGCTGTCTCAGCTTCTCTGCCCTTCATTAGTGAGTAGGTCAACCATGCGGGCAGAGGGCCATACTCACTGAGGGAGACAGGAGCAGGTGGAAGAGGAGTGATGGGGCACCTTCCCTTTGCTCAAACAAATTGGCCTTGGATGGACATTCTTTTGCCCTGGAAGTCTGATGAAGCCATGATACCTACAACGCTATACCACTGCCTGGGGTGAATATAACCCTTGTGTGTGTGTGTATGTGTGGTTGTTGTTGTTGTTGGGATGCTGCTTTTCTGTGAGCAGGAATCCTGGCAACTACAGCCAGGTTGACCCTGCTCCCACCCAAGTAGACCTCATCTCCTGTATCAGATGGGAGCCAAGATTCCAACCCTGGCCTAGGATGTGGAGTGAGTTCAGGACTCCTGCAGCAGATGCTGTAACCCCGCCTGTACTCCCAGAAGTGACTCTGATGTCAAGTGTGCTCTCTGGTGGTCCCTGGCAGTCTGGGGCCAGTCTGTGAATGAAGCACACCTGTGGTGGGCCCTGCAGGCGCCATCTAGTTCTCCCTGCAGAGGGGAGAGAGGTGCTTGTGCACTTGAGTAACCTTCTATGGCTACAGCACTGCAGAGAAGAAGTGACTTGTACTTGATTTTCATTATTGAATCCTCTATCATCATTACTAATTATCACTGTCACCAAAAAATCACAGTTAACACAACCACAAGAATCTGTGTGTGCATTCCCACTGCTGCTGTCACCTCCCATTCTCCCTTTTCTGTGCCATCTCACAGCATTTGGTCCCAAGACACCCTCTCCCAGGACAACGCTGGGCTAAGAGCCCTACTCTACTACACTCAGCCTGAGTCTCAGTGTTTCACAGTCTCAAAAGGGGAAGAGCAACTCATTTCCAGTGACATGATTGAAAATAAGATTAGCAGGGCCAGCACCAGGCAAGGTATGCTGAGCACCAGTACCCCGTATGCATTCTAGTTTATGTCCTGATTGCTCCGTTTCCACTCCAGCTTCCTGCTCATGTGCCTGGGAGAGCAACAGAGTATGACTTGAGCCCTTGGGACCCTGTTCCTCTGTGGGAGACCTGGAAGAAGCTCCAAGCTCCTGGCTTCTGATCAGTGCATCTCTGTCTAACTGTTGCAGTCATTTGGGGAATGAACCAGTGGATACAAATCTCTCTCTGTCTCTTTCTTTCTCTCTAACTCTGCCTTTCAAATAAAAATAAAACAAATCTATAAAAACATTAATAAAATTAATTCCAACCATAGTCAACAAAATAAAGAAGCACTTGAACTCTTCCAAGATGAGGTTGTCCGAATGTCAATCTCTGACCACTTCTGAGGCATCAAAAGCAGTGCAGCACAGAATTCTGCTCAGAGAGAGATGCCAGGACCAGGAGGGACCAGAACACCAGGCAGGCCAGAGTGTGGTGCTGGGTGACTCAGGCCAGATCTGTTCAGGAAGGCTTCCCTTGTAAGTAAGCCTAGATGCCTTCAAAGTCACGGGTGACATCTGCAAGCATCCCACCAGTGAGATTGTGAGGCCCCTGTTTTCTGGTACAAGAGACCCATTATGGTTTAAGCATAATTTGTGCACTTTCCCTGAACTCCTACAGGAGTTTCCTCCCAAAGCCTTGTATTCATTGTATGCTAGGGATGGGAACCGAATTCAACAATGGGGTTTACAGGTGGGGTCTTTGTGAAGTGACTGAATTGGAACCTCAGTGAGTGAATCATGATTACAAGCCAAGGGACAGAAATACACAGTTCAGCATGCAGACACATATGCTCCTACCATGGTCTGCTGCAGGCAAGGGTGGGAGCGAGCAGGAGAAGGGGTTACTGGAGACTTCCGTGCCCCAGGACTTGTGAGCAAAGTTCCCTGACCAGTGTGGGCAGGAGGAAGGGCATGCCAGCTGTGAGCAGCTATTTTGAGAAGTAAATTCCAGCCAGCCTTCCTGTACTCCTACACTTGGCTAGGAGAAAGGCCAGTCGTCACAGCTCCCTGAGTGTAGATCCCAACAGAAGAAGACAGTGGGAGCAGACCAGAACCCAGAGCACAGCCAAGGCTAAGCCTGAAAGCCCAGCCCAGCAGAGCCCCAGATTTGTCACAGATGTGTGCATGGGAAACAAAAGTCAGCTGGAAAGCCCTCCAATTTGGAAAATTGCTTATTACTGAGACCAAAGCTGGCTAATACGCCATGCTACAGGAAAACGTGTCTCCTAGAAGCATACCTCAGGGACTGAGCTGAGATCTGCATGAAGGAGAGTGAAGGACAGTGGAGGGGCTCTGCAGGTAGGCCCAGCACCCTTCCCCCTCCCTGGCAGAGTTGTAGCCCTCCATATGAAGACACACCTGGCTTCTGGCATTACCCACTCAGGCCCCTGCAGGGACAGGAAGGGAGTTTGGTGGGAGGGAGAAGGAAATTAGAATGCATCAATGTCAAATTCCTCTTCATTCACAGCCCTCTGTCTTCCACAGTCCTCCAAACCTGGACCATCTGTTTCTCTCACAGTCTAGGTGTCATAATTAAAAGACTCTTGAACTTGGAGTTGATACATGGATTTTGTTAGCATGGAGAGGCAACAAGATGGCTTGTACCAGTTTACACCTTCCAGCACCACTGGTTGGATCAGTATGCCAGTCTCCTGGTCCTTCTGAGTCCTAATACTAAAGGACCCCCAAGGAAATTCACATTAACAGCCTCTCAGCCAAATTCTAGCTGAAAGATGCTTTCTTGACACACAGAGCAATTTATTTGATGTATCACACAAGCGACCAAGGACAACCCCCAAAGGTTCCAGGTTAGGTGCATGGCAGAGCTTATGCACACTTCTTTTCACCCAAACCAGGCCATTCCCACATCCTCAGAGTGCAGACTCACGGCTATACTCATCTGTGAAATAATAATAATTTTTAAAAAATGCAGCTCTCCACCAGCCAGTGTGGAAGAGGAGTGAAGCTTAGTGAATGGAGTAAAGGAAGTAGTGGAAACTGACGTTGTCAATTCCAACTGCTTTGAAAAAAAGCATTGAAGCCTTTTAAATGTCTTATCTGGAATGGAAATATATGTATGCAGATAAAAGCACAGAACCTCTGGGTAAAGAGCCTGCCTGGGCAGCGTCCCCTCTCCCGCCCTCAGAAGTGCAACCCTAGCACTACTCAAGAGGAACTGAGCACTCAACGAGGCTTCCAGGAAGCTGGAGGCAGTGATCAGCACAGCTGTTTCTGGGCATTTTGCAAGGAAAAAGGGTGAAACTCAATGTAAAGACATCTCTGTGTGGCCCAACAGCCACACTATGCACATTGTGAAACACTTCTAATCCCCTCTTGAGGCAACCTACCTCTCTCTGCTCCCCTCAGCAAGCCTCATGTCCTTGTCTTCAACTGGGTAAGGCTAGTTAGCTTAGGAATGACCGAGATCTTCCTTTCTTCCTGCCCCTTCCCAGCCATCACTCAAGTTCAGCCTTTCCTCAGCTCTCAGGTCTCAAGCCTGGATCCATCTCCACCTTGCTGCCCACCCTCCATCCTGCCTTCCTGTCCCAGGAAGGGATCCTGAAGGATCTGTCCATTTTGTCAGCTCTCTTCTTCCCAGGGAGACTAGAACCCAGACCCACCTATGCACACCACGTCCATGAAGCCGTACATCCCATAGCAGATCTGGAAGAGGAGATCTTGGCGCTGCCATTTAGCTGAGGGACTGAAGGTCGACCAGATGAGCCAAGAGATACTGGCGATGAGGAAGAGGGAGCCCAGGATGGCAGCTGCAATCTGGACCTTCTCAATGACCGTCAGAGAGATGGCTTGCCACTGCAGGAGAGGAGAGTGACAGGTTAGCTGCTGGGTGGAGAGAAATGGGAGGGAAGAAGTGAAAACTCAGAGTGAGTGTGGGTGGTGTGCAGAACTCCAGAATCTTCCCTCCAGAGCCACATAGTCTGAGAGCACATGGGTCTTTCTTTGACTCATTTTGGTTCTACAACAATACCTTGCAGGTCATTTAGTACAGTGACCAGGGATGACCAATCCAACAAAGAGAGGACAACAGAAATGGAAAAAAGATAAGAACAATCATTTATAATTTACTCAAGGTATGTTAACAAGGATATTTCCATATATAAAAAACAGCAGCATACACACAGTAGCATTAATGGATGAATTGAAAAGTGGGGTGCAGGTGGACTTCAGCTTGGAAGTTCTATGGTTTCCTGGCTATTCCAAGGAACACCAGCCTAAATGAGCCAGAAGTTGAATGTTAACATTCATTATGGGTTCATTATGGTTTTCATGAGATCCGGCTCCCCAGACTCACACACACATTTAAACCTCAAAGTTTTCTGTGAATGGTTAAAGGACTCACACTAGTCATTGATGGTTGAGGGTGAAGGTTAGATCTCATTGTGATGCCTGAAGGTAAGGCCTTGCACCTTGCAAAGGTGACTCAACTGGACTGGGTTGCTGGGGTTGGGTTCCATGAGCGGATTCTGATGGCCTGAGCCAAGTAGGAGTTACTAGAATTCTACCATTTGCAACAAAATGGCCCCAACTAGAGATCACCATGCTCAGTGCAACAAGCCAATCCTAAAAGGACAACAAGCATATGTTCTCTCTGATACAAGGCAATCTTCATGTAAAATACAAGATCAATCAATATGTATATACATACATTCATCTAGAGTAACTATGTAACAGAGACTAGCATGACAGTATGCATTTGTACTCCCAAATAAAAGGTGGAGTTTTCCCTCTCCCCGCCCCTCCAAAAAAACAAGTTATTAGGCACAGGAAGGGACAGTGCTCTAGGTGAGAGAAGAGCCTGGGTGGGCAAAGAACCTGCACCCAAGGAAAGGATAGTGAGTGTGGAAAACCATAGTGGAGTGCAGAGAGCAGAAGGAAGCACTGGGTGAGACAATGTGAGGAGTAAGAAGGGTGGAGCATGTTGATTCTTGTAGTCTATGCAGAGTTAATGCCTCTCACTAGGAGTGAAGGTGATGTTGTGGATGGAGTTAGGCAATTACAGGACAGGGTCATATTCGGGCAGGTAAAAGGAGGGACATGTGCTGGCATCGACATCATGCCCTCCAGAGGATACACCCAGAAATCTCAGTTTAAACTCAGAGGAGTGGCACAGCCCCTCCCACCTGCCACCAGGAAGATCCTAGCTGTGCATCTGATTGCCTGAGTGTAAGCCCTAACTAGCTCCTGCTGGAAGCAGCCAATAGCTTCAAGGAGGGGTAACCACTGGAAGACAGTTCACCTGCTAGTCCAGATGTAGGGTGTCAGTCTTTACATCTAATTATATACACAGTATCCCATTACATGCAATTGGGGCATTTATTTTTCCACTGCTTTCCATAGCCTAGGGTTACACATAGTAAGGAATGTTGCAGAAGATGGTCCAATCTTTCAGACTTCTCCCTTGTAGAATGGAATGTTTTATATCAGAGCCTGCCTCACTGCCTGGAAAGTGCGGAAGCTCTTGATCGTGCCTTTTGTTTCCACCATTGAAGAATCTATAATTCCACTCTCTCATTCTTCCAGGTCTCAGGAACTCCAGAGAGGCAGATCCCTAAAGCTCCTCCAACCAGCCCCCAAGCCACCAGTGTTCCCTGGACAGGGCTACTGACCGTGGCAAGAGGAGTGTTGAAGAAGGAACAGGATAGGTGCTTTCAGAGGGGTGGTAGCAGGAAGTATAAGGGGACTGATGTGAGATCTCAAAGGGAGGCTGGGACGGCAGGAGGGTCCCAGGGTCACAGGGTCCCAGGCTGTGCCACAGCATAGAACATCACCCAACAAGAGATTCTGATCTCAGCGAGGTAAGACCTACCCAGCCCCTGAATGTCTGTTCTGCAGCATCAATCAGCAGAGTACAGGCAGGGAATGTTGGGCCGATAAGTCATATCCAGTTCACAATATCATCCTGATGGGACTCGACATTCAATAAATCCATAGCAGGCTAATTTTATATAATTAAATTGATAATTTGTTTTGAGCTGTGAGTGATGTTATAAATATGTAAATGGCCTTGGGCAAAGAGAAGGTTCTCACTGTTGGCATGGAGAGACTACAGGAAGAGAGCACCATGCCTGGAAACTTCCTTGATTATATCAGAAAGCTGCCCAACCTTTCTGTGCCTTCACTGTGTCATCTATCAATTGGGAATAACACTTGCTCCCCCTTAAGTGTTTGCAGGCTTAAGCTAGATAATGCATGTGAACAGTTAGCACACAGACTGGCACCTAAAAATCCTCAACAAAACTGTCCCTTCCTCTAATTGCAGCTTTGGTACAGCATGGAGAGGGAAGAGCCACAAAGCCAAGGGCTGCAAGACAGCTCATTTCTCATGTGCTTCTGACTGAGATCAGGACTTCCAAGAGTCACTGGGACGACGCCCACGTGTGAGCAGGTCGGCTGTTCCCTGCAGCTCTGTACAGGGCTGAACCTGGAGGTGAGAGAGCTACAGGGTACCTGCAGACTGTGAGCGCAGCGACAGCCCTGGGACCACCACCCCCATCCATTTCTCTGCCATTTCTCTTTCCATCCCCTGCTGTAGATGCCCAGAAGGGCTGTGGGGACAGAAGCCGAACCCTGTGGCTCAGCAGGCAGCTGGGCCTGAGGATCCCTGAACACATGATTGGGATGATGCAAGCCACAACCACACAACTCTGCTTCTAGGCCAAATGACTTCCTGCCCTTGGTGCATCTGGCAAAGTGAGGCAGCAAGACCTGAGCCTACATCATTGCACTGGCAGGAGCAGTGGGATTGGAGGGCATCCCAGTATCTAGAAACTCTTAGTTGGACAAAGGGCAGTCACTCAGGACTTGCACATCACCACTGCCTATACCTAACTGGGGCGTCTAGAACAGTTTCTTTTTTCTTTTCTTTTTTTTTTCCCCCTCAAGAAAAAATGTTAGCCCTAAATGCTTTTTCAGTTTTGTGAACCAAGACAGAGCGAGTCCTTTGGGGTGGGCTCTTGGGTTTGGAATCCAACGTTTTCTGGAAGCTTGAGCCAGCTGGGGAGGAAGGGAAGGGTTAACTCACTCAGGCCTTTGCCCAGGGCGGCAGTCAGCTGTCTCATGACTCAGCTATTTCAAGAGGCTTCAGGATTTGGCAACCAGTGCCTGAAGACAGAGCCGCGGCAGGGACAGGTGCCTCTTATTCTGACCTTCAGTACAACCCTGAGGATGGCTAAGGCGCCTGCGGCTTCCAGTGCTACCCTCCAGAATCTGTGTCCCCTGACACACATATACACACACTCCTGTCACATACCCACATACTGTCATACAGACGTACCCACACACTCATCCACATACCCACACACATATGCACACTCCCCTCACACATACCCACATACTCTCTTACACATATACCCACCACTTATACATCCATATCATATTCACACATATGTACACTCAGGCTCACACATGCCTTGCACTCTTATACAATTACACAAATATGCACACACACACTCTCTGTCTCTCTCTCACACACATACGCACACACACACTTCTTAGGGTCTACAATGGAATGCCCTGGACACTGGAGCACCAGGGGTTTCCAGCTGCCTTTCCATGTTAAGACCCCATCCCTGTGATCCCCGTCCAACCTCCAACGCCCAGTGTTGGATGGATTCTTCCTCCCACCCCTTTTGTCGGAGGAGTGAAGCTGGCCCAAGTAACTGAAGGCCCCCTACCCATGCTCACACTGGTTAATTGATTACATGCAGATTAACTGGCTGACCATGCACCTGTGGAGATATTTCCAGATGCAAGTTGCACTGTGCGTGTGTGTGTCTGTTTGAGCTGAGAACCACATGGGTGGCAGGGGCCTGCCAGCTGCTCTGGGGATGATGGCTGTGTTGTGGCAGACGGGGTGCAGTGGCACAGGGAGCCTCCCATTTTGCCCCACCCACCTTGGCCCTACACATCCGTGCCCCTCCCAGTGGCCTTCCCATCTTTCCTTTCCCTCCCACTTTCCTGTCTTTCTCTGTTGCCCTCTCCCCTCCCTTCTCCATTTGTCTATCTGTCCCGGGTCACAGGAAGTGTGCTCTGCAGGCCATCAGGATCAGCATCACCCCCAGGGCCAGCCCCAGACCTTCCTTCCGTATCCTTCTCTGTCTTTGTCCCATCCCTTCCTCTGCTTGCTGAGCCGTAAGAGAACATTTTAAAAGTTCTTTCATCCCCTCCTGCCTGCATGCCACACACAGCCATTTGTCTTCTCCAGGATGCCCTGAATGTCACCTGAAGTGATGCTGCTGAGAAGCAGTGGTCTAGAAAGACCCAGAGCAGGAAGCACCTTGGTTGTACCTGCAGAGGATTCTTTGTGCTTATGGCGATGACATGGTACTTGTAGTAGCACAGCTCGCAGCTCCAGCAGCCCCGCTCGCTGATCCACTTGATGAGGCACGGCTGGTGCGTGCACTTGACAGAGCCATCACAGCGGCATGGACTCAGCAGCTCCCCCTGCAGGAAGAGAGGTAGAAAGTGGTGAGGGAGCTCCAAGGGGTTCTGGAGGGAAGCATTGATTTGGGCCATCCTGACCAGGCCACAGTCTGGGATTCAAGCAACTTCAGTCAGCTAACAGTTCTGAGCCCCCACGCCGGGAAGACACAAAGTGATTCTCCCTAAATGGCTCAAGTCTTAGGGTGTCTGCAGAGTGGGCTGGTTTCTGTGAGAACTCGCTGTTGTCCAAAGGGTGTGTCAAGCTTGACAAGCTTCTTTATTATGAAGATTCACCCAGCGGTCACAAACTCAAAATGTCCTCTGGCTCAGTCCAGAGTGATTGATGTCAGCTGGTAAACTGGAGGGCCCAGACCCAGAGGAAAGGGAGAGAAATGTCATGCTGCAGCCAGCTTGGATGTGGGAACCACAAGGAACTCCTTAAGGGCAATTTCCTACTTGAAGATTACAGGAGAGGTCTTCAAAAAGCTGATGAGAAACGTGTACCACGAGAATTAATGCATAATGGCAACATTACTGACTGAATTCTATTTTTTTATTTTAAAATTTATTTTCACTTTATTTGAAAGGTAGAGAGAAAGAGAGACCTCTCAAACGCTGGTTCACAACAAGCTTGCCACACCTGGGACTGGGCCAGGCTAAATCCAGGAACCTGGAACTTCATCCAGCCTCCTACCCGGGAGCAGGGACTTAAGCACCTGGGCTATTGTTCCCTGTCTCCCAGGATGCACAGCAGCAGGAAACTGGATTGAAAGCAGAGGAGCTAGGACCTGCAGTAGGCACTCTGCCATAGGGTGTAGGCATCCTGTGCAGTATCCCAGAATCTCATCCACAGTACTGAATGTGTGACCCACTGTGAACTGTGTGAAGTTCTTCCATTTTGACAGGACCCCTTCCTGCGGCTCCAGGCCTTCCCCAAGCCCCTGTCAGAGCTCTGTCCCTGTTTGTCTCTCGGCCCTCACACTGTAACCCTCTCATAAGGACAGCATCTCCTCCTTCGTTGCATCCTGACACCTCACTCAGGGCATGCTAGAGTTGGATGCTCAGTCCAACCTTGACAGCTAAGCCCATGAATATCTATGTGATAGACAGAAGGTCTTGTTACTCCGGGACAAGGCCAGCCTCCGGCTCCAGGTGGGGAGCTGGGGTGCCAGGGAGAAACGAGGCAGGAGCCCTGGGCACTCCCCACCCAGAAGGGCTAAAGGGGCCTTTGGTGATGATTTGTTTCTGTACTTGTATTGCTTTGAGAAGGACATAGGTGGTGGCAGGTGAGAGTCGGAGGGGCGGGGCGAAAGCCCTTATTATTGGTGGCAGCATTTCCTGGACTCATTAATTCTAACAGGACTAGCTAGATTTGATTAATTGGGTTGTTAAGCAGCCGTGTCAAATTGCCAATCAAGTAAGAGACATTACTTCTGGTCCCTGGCAACAGCATGAAGCTATGGTGGAGGTTGCAGTCTTTGGAGTACGTATGAGACATGGCAGGGACACAACTGCAAACAAAACCTGGCCCCTCCATGTTGGCTGTGGACACAGAGGCCGTTGCAGCCCCTTGGGCCTCTGCAAACTTCTCTGGAGGGAGAAGCATGACCTGGCCTGGGTCTCAGGGTCTGGCAATGGGGCCAAGAGGCCAAGGGTGGGGCTGCTGCACTAGGGCTCCCTAAACACTCCTTCCCTACTTTTCCTTAAGGCTGAAAAGTTCTGGCGCTAGAAATCTAAGAAAGCAAGGAAAAAGGTTAACTTTGATGAAAGGAAAGTGATCCAGGACATTAATGAAAAAGAAGAAGAAAGAAAGAAGCTATTTTAAACTTGGCATTCATGCAAGTTTTGTATTTTTATGATTCGGTATAATTTTATGGGCATTTGGGAGGAGGGCCATAAGCTTGCCAGGGTTTTGGGCCTTTCCCCATCTCCTCCTCTCAGACCTTGAATCTTTAAGAGCAAGAGAATTGGAACGGCCTCAGCATCTGGGCAGACCTGGGTTAGACTTCAAATGTTCCTTGTAGTGAAGTGTTAAAGGTTAAAATGTGGAACGTGGAAGTAGAAGACGGCCTCCCCATCCAGCCCCACTCCTGGTAAAGATCTCTCAGCACAAGAGAGATCCCTACTGAAGCAAAAGGTTAAATGGCTAATTCACTGCTACACGTGACTCGGATACAAACCTGTTCTTTCTGATGTTGAAGTCTGAGCTCCACCACACCTGCTCTCTATTCTGCCGCTCCATTCCCACCGTGCCGCCTGCACCTGTGCTGTGAGTCCTGCCTATATCCTCCTCTCCATGCCCTCCCTAAATCCTGGCCCTTCAGCCAAGTGCCCCCTCCCCTCCTCCATGACCACCTGCTACAGGCCTATCTTGTGTCCCTGTTGCCTCACCCAGAGCGTGCCACATCGTCATCTTCACATGCTTTGGGAATTAGGCCTGTTCTCACATATCCCATAGAACTGGGCACATCCAAGATGCCCAAGAAAGGTGTTTCCTAAGCGAACAGCCACCAGGGTAAAGGAAAGGACAAGCCCTTCTGGACCAGCTCCAGAGGTGCCAGGCTTTGGGCTGACAGGATTACTGGGAACGTGTCTGCTGAGCTCAGTACGCTCCTCAGATCAAAGGCGTCTGTTAGATGCAAGAGGCATCAGACACTGCCTCCATGATCTGCTCAGAGCTTTGGGGCCAGAGACCGCCGTGGGAATGATAAAGACAAGAAAAATGGGATTTTCTCTAATCCTTTGGCCTCCCAAAGGGATACTGTAGGGGAGTGGTCAGACACAGGATTTTTAGAAAAGGGCACTTTGGGTTTTGCATGCCTTTTCACTGTTTTACTGCTGTGAAATTGTAGCAAAGCCTCCTCCCAATCTAGAGGTGCCATCTCTTCATTTTTCCACGGCAGGTAACTCTTCACCCCCTCAAAGGGAGTTGGATGGATTCAATTAAATCACGCATGCGAAGTGCTAGAAACAGTGCCATACACAAGTCCTCTTAACAGAACATTGCAGTTCTAATCACATCTCTGTACGAGCTTTAAAACCATCATTCTTCCTACTACAACTCTGGTTTTCCCACTGTCTCTCTCAGATAGGGTAGGTAGGGAGGGGCACAAATGCCTTAAGGAAGGTCCAGTGGAGCCGCAGACTCAGGGAAAGGTTTAAGAACTTTCGAAGAGATGCTGCCCTTGTAAGGGATCAGAGTAATTTTCCAGGCTTCTGCTCCAGGACTGTCCCCGGAATTATGCAGAGACACTGAGAGCATGGTGGGGGTTGTCTTCCTGGAGATGTTGTAGAGAGGAAAGGCTGGCCTCTTTTATGAGATAAGGAGGGTAAGTGGGGTTTGTGCTAGAGGAAGCTGTGATCTGAACTGCCAGAAGAGAATGGGGTTAGGAGAGATAAAGGAGGAGTACAAATGGGCCCAGTGAATGGAAGGAAGAAATTAGAAAAATCTAGAAGATTCCAGTGTCTTCTTCCATCAGGGCATAAGGCGATGATTTCTCGACTTTACAGACCTATGTGAGAACAACATATTCCAGCATCAGCAGCAAGAAAAACGACCAATCATGAAGACTTTCTTGCCAGCAAAGATTATGGAGGAGAGATGAATGAGGGGAAGGTGTGACTCATGACTGCCCTCGCGAATGATAAACTGAGTTCCCCCTTATCTGTGTGAAGCAGGCTGCTTAGCAAGATGACCCCCCCAAAATCCTCCATGGCCCTAGTGTCCATTGCCGTTCAAAGACAAAGCATTCTAAATTCTCTGCAAGGTGTATCAGACAGGGCATGAGAAGCTCTTTGTTTTTTTGGCTGGAGTCCTTTTTTGCCACACTCTGAGCTTCACCACCCTTCCCTGGCATTCAATACGCTCCTGGCTCAGCCAGTCCAGACCCAGGCTTTTCACTTCTTCTTTAAGTGCCACCAAGGCCACACCTTGGCTTTAGGAAACTGTGTCAACACTGGAAGAAGGAAGGCAGGAACTGCTGTGAGATAATTTTATTTTAAAAAGAGAAAGAACTCCATTACCAAGAAGAACAACAGCAACAAAAAGATTTAAGGCCTTAATGAGATGTAATTATCCACACTAAATCCAATTACCACACAATTATTTCTAGTTCTACTCTCAACCAGCAACTTCCTTTCATAAACACACACACATACACACCAACCACACACACACTCTCTCTCTCTCTCTCACACACACACACACACACACACACACGGGCGCGTGCAAAGTCTACCTCCATCTTTACAGAAACTCTTCCAGCCTATCTGCTCATCATGTAAAAAAGAAGAGGAATGCAAAAATAAAAGACAAAGAAAAACAAAAAGAGTTAAATCAAGCCTTCCAGACTGAGCTTTTAATTTTCACAATAATTATTTTATTCCTACAATGGTTTTCTCCTTATAATCTAACTGGTGTAAGACAAATATACCTATTCCCTCTAACTGCCTCTAAATTTACTCAGCTGGTACTAGAAAGAACTTAACCTCACAATAATTGAATTTAAATAACATCCAATTCTATGAAGTCAAACATGACCTGCATAATTAACGAGCCAAGCCATATAAGGGCTGGTGGAAAGAGAGAAGGTCATAGCTAATGTGTATATTCATATCTGTGTCTCTAATGACGTAAGTACATTATACTGCCCATTTGTCATTCTGTGGAACTCATCATGGCCATCACCATCATCATCATAAGAGCTGACATTGAAGGCTAATCTGCCTTCAGTTCTCTGCCTGGCTTGATAGGAAGACAATTTGGGTAATCCTCTAGCAAGCAGATTCAGGCTCTCTTCAAGGGTCTCCAAGTGTCCCTAGCAGCCGATGGAAATTTCCAGGATACCAGATCATGGTGTTCTCTGTCTTTTCCATGCCCAGGGCACAAGTCATCTGGCAAGTTCAGGGCCAAAGACTCAACTGCCCACTCAAGTCAGTCCTCTATGTTTCGTATAAGTTGACAGAGGGGTGTTGAGTCTCAGGGGCGCAAAACCTTTGCAGTGTTCTTTGAAGGGGCTAGA